GACTAAAATGTAAGAATTTCAAGTTAAGGGACTGCGGATGGGATTTAACCCTTAGTTAATTACACAAATAGCCCTCCCCGAAACGACGTCGTTCAGGAAGGGCTATTTAAAGCCCGAAACCAGCTGGCCCGAAGGGCCAGCTCTCATTTTCTTTCTTTCCTCTCTCTCTCTTCTGAGAGAATTCAAAATTCTCTCTCGCTTCTCTCTAAAACAGAGAGAAGCACACCGACCAGCAGCTGTTCGCCGGCGTTGACCCCGTCGCCAGCCACCGTCTTCGGTGGCCGGAAAATTTTTTTTACACTAAAACGTAGATCGGACCGTCCTAATGACGGTTCCGGTGTTCTTTTCTTTTAAACAGCTCTCGATCGGAGCAAATCTAAGAAAGTACCTTCGATTTTCGAAGGTTTTTGGTGACGTTTGAAGAGGTCCGGCAGTCGTGGATTCCTCGGTAAGCTTCTCTCCTTTCTTTTCTTTTGTTTTTGGTTGCTGTGTTGTGGGTTTGCTCTGGTTTGTTGGGGGTTTTTTTTTGTTCTCCGTTCTTCCTCTCTTTTTTTTTTTTTGGCAGGGGGTTCGGTGGCTTTTATAGCCACCACCGGTGATGGCTTCGGACCGGTCTAAAAGGGGTTCTTCGGTGAGTCACCGGACTTCCAGTGGTGACTCACTGTTTGAGGGAGACGTGTGCGGCTGGAGTGGCTCTTCTGGAAGCCTTTGACGAGACGTGGCAGCGGTGGAGATGATGGGAACAGCTGCGGCGGCCGCGTGGCCCTAGGGTATCATACCCTAGGGTTTGCATCTGGATGAGCGTGGGTCGTTGGATCTCTCAGATCCAACGGCTGAGATGATGAGGCGGCGGCTAGAGCTAGGGTTTAGAAACCCTAGATGAAACCACAAATGTTTAGGGTTGGGTTTGGACTGGTTCTGGTTGGGCCTGAGATTTGGGCTTGTAACTATTATTTTTTTAATAATAATAATAATATATATATTATAATAATAATAATTATAATAATAATAATTATAATAATAATAATAATAAATAAAAATGGGTAAAAAATTAGTATCTTCAATTTTAAAATTTTTGAATTATTAAAAAAATATCTTATTCAAACTCCGGTACCCCATAAATCATATTCTTCTTACCCTGGCCCATCTTTATGGACCAACTCCATTTCATAAAGACGTAAAGAATGATTAGCTAAAACCATGTGAAAGCTAACATGCATGACTATTTAGTAACATGTCTGTGCACGTGAAGGGATGGGAAATAAATATTTATGGATTGATTTTCTTATTTTTATTCTTCTCCATAAACTACATGCAAATATTTAAAAAAAAAAATTGGAATGGAAAAAATAAAAGTTATTGACAAAAGATATATTAGAAAATACAAAAAAAAAATTACTTGGTTTGATCATGCTTTATTTTTAAAATTAAAATTTTAGTACATGCTTTCAGTAAATGTATTATCATAAATTTGAAAATTTTAGTTAATACTAATTACTAAATGATTAAATCAAATCCAAGTAGTTAGATCAAATGATAAGCATGGGAAAAAAGTGAGACTAACATATATATGGATATCCATGCCGAGTGCCTCATTGTTTGACCACGTAAAAGATTTTTAATGAGAAAAGACGTACTGCCTCATTTTCTATTAATCTCTCGTGATTTTGTCATTCTATACTAATAAAATGAACCTCCACTATTTAATATTGAATCCGGTTTCCTTAATTTTATCTAAAACGCCTATGATTGTTGACTAACATGTATTCATTATCACCCCTTTTTTTATTTTAAACATGTATAACATTTAATGTTTGTGATTTGAAAATGTAGGAATTGCAATCATTAATAAAACTGTATTTTGACTCTATAAGATGATAAAATTTTGATTGAATTCTTTTAAATGCAATATTATTTTTAATTTTTATTAAAAATAGATTTCAGTTTCTTTTTAGAAATAACATCCGATTTCACTCTTGAAAATTTATTATGATATTAAAATAAATAAATTATAAATATCAATGAATTATTTAACAAAGAGAAGATGAAGAAATTTGACAGGCAAACATAGTGGCAATGCGACACGTGGGTGGAATAGTTGTTGAGATTTGTACGATTGACTCGCCTTTCTTTCGGATTTCAAAATGTAATACCAACGAATATCATTGTTTTTAGGGTAAATTACGTATTTAATATCTAAACTATTAATTTTGATTCGTTTTAGTATCTACACTTTTAAATTTTTTTAAAGCTATAATTAAAGTTTAGTTTTTGTTTCATTTTAATATCCCGTTGTTAAATTTTTCAAAAAAATAAAAGTCTAGGTACTAAAACATGTTTAGTACCTAAATCATATTTAAGTTTTGATTTTTTTTTTGAAATTTAGGTATTAAAATGGATCAAAATTGATAGTTTAGGTATTAAATGCGTTAAGTTTTTAATGACGTGGAATTAAAATAAAACAAAACGTAAACTTTAGATATGATTATGAAATAAATTAAAAGTCTATGTACTAAAATGGATAAAAACTGATAATCTAGATGCTAAATGCATAATTTATCATTGTTCTTATCATGAAAGGAAGAGTTTTATTGGGTTTAAAATCTAAGGGGCTGTTTGTTTGCCTCTTAATGGAACCATTCAGCGCTAAATGCTGAACCGTTCAACATTCAACGCGTTTATTTCGCACCTTTGAATGATTCAGTGCTGAATGATTCAACACATAAGTACATTCTGAATGATTCAGAGCCATTATCAAACAGCATGTCACATTCAGAGCTAATTCATACAGAGCCTCTAAATTATTCGGCATTTGAATCATTCAGCGTTTAATCATTCTGAAGTATACAAACAACCCCTAAGTGCAATGTTTTGTAAAGAGATCTAACATTTTTTTCCCAATTGGTTAGTGTATTGTTGGTAATATGAATATTTATTTTGTTTACATTTTAAGAATTACATATTAAAACTTATTAAGTGATTTTAATGGTTAAAAAATAATATTTTTCTTATAAATTTTGGCTTTGAGTAGTTGGATTTGTATGGATGTGTGTTGTCAATTATTAATTTTTTTAAACAAATATTATCTTATAATATCGACTATTAAAAATTATATATATATATTTTCAATGCTAAAAATAAATTTCAAACGTGAACATTGAGATTTATTCATTTTTAGAAAAATCCAAACATTACGTGTGATTAGAATCATCTCAAAAGAACTATACTTTACTTCCCAAGGAATTATACTCGGATTTTGTTTGGATATGGTTCGAGTGCTGAACAGTTTGCTTTTATTATATTAAAAAATGACTTTTACAATGTTGAGTGAAATAAAATCAACCTTCATTTCTAACAGTGGTGGCGTCTGCTTATGGTCAACAAACTACTTTGTAAAATTCAAATCAATACATTTAACGGTGATTGATTGAGTTATAATTTTTGTATGCAATATAATGCGAATTGACTTGTTTACTCTTAGAAAATGAAAAGGGTAAGTGTTCGCATTTTTCCAGAGTTAGATATGGATAGTATATGAAATCAAAGATATGAACATTAAATAACTAAATAGGAAGGGAGATTTCAGCATAAAACAAATTCAGGGGAATTAAAATTAACAGATTCGGATGTTGCTTTTTAATGAAATTAAAGGATTCTTTTCAAGAATGCATCATCGTGGTCTCCAAGGAACCCAAACGTCTTTCACATTGGCACCTGCCAATTGCCATTACATTGTTTTTTTTTTTTAATACACGAGGTGGAAAATTGCAGTATATAATCAAAACATCCGTAGGTAGTAAGGACGAACATATAATTTTATGTTAGGATGCAAACTTATAAAATCTTAAAAGGAACCAAAGAAAAAACAGATTTTTAATAAAAAAATCTAAAATATATGATAATTTTAAATTTTTAGGTGAATGATTGCCCCAACCCGTCCTCCCCCATCCATCCCTACTAGCTAAGGACTATGGAAAAATCCTCATGAGTCGAAACCATCAGGTGGATCTTAGAAAATTCAAAGGCCAAATAAAATAATCCATGTAAGTTTAGCTAAATCATCCGTCACTTTATTATTTTCGTGATACGTATAAATTTCAAATCTAAAACAAATATTAGACGTAAAGAGTTTTTTTTTTTTTTTTTTTAATTTAAATTTTACATTTTCTAAACATTGAACTCCTGTATTATTTTTCATTTGAAAATATTAATTTTTATACATTGGAATTGTAAAATAATCTTTTTAACTTTTTATTTAATTGAATCTTTAATCTTTAAAAAGTACATATAAACCTTGTTCACACCCACGGGCCCCAGATCAAGCAAAGAACTATACTTTAACCAATGCCCCAAACGAACAGAGGAGAAAATAAAGGTAAGAAAATGGTTATCTTAACAAAAAGAAAAGCATTGAAGCTTCGGTTCCTCTTCACTTTTCCTAATTTTATACCTTCTTTTAATTCCTCCATCCACCAAAATAGTCTTTAAATAAATTCGCACACTACCCAAAATAGTCATATTTGTAGAACTCAAAATGAGTAGTCATATTTACTAATTTATTTAGTTGATACATAGATGTTTCACTTCCATCTAAAACAAACATGATTACCGATGATTTCATCAAAATTATAAGTTTCTCGGATGATATTTTGATCATTGAAACTGTTTATATATTCTTGCGAGGTTGTTTATATACAGATTTACATGACTTTCTTACTTTTACTTTGATGTAATCACAGTTGATATATTTTTCTATTAAAAGTATGTATCTATGTGTATATATGGATATGATTAGGCCATCAATATTTTTTTATAAAACTAAGAATTGGGATAACACAGCTGATTATAAAACTTTTGACACGATGCTGAGATGTTCATATCGGAATTTGCATAACGGCAGCTTCCTGCCTTCATATTTACTATGTGTTCATATCACACTACTCTATGCAAATCAACCTTTGCATAGTGTATCCTATATCTAATATTAGGTGAAAAAGTACAATAATAAATAAAAATTCCATTAACACATGGAAAATGCTTACATTTTAGACTAGGTTGAATCAACAGGACAAAGTTCTATAGATCCATAATGAAGCAATTCCTCTATCATCTGCTCTACATCATCATCTTCCAGTGGGATGAACTGTTCTTCACTCCCAACCTGACTTTCCTCGTTTCCTTCCCATTGGTTCTCCGGTTGCCGCCAGTAATTGGTTTCTCCGATATTGCTTCTGGTAATGCCGTAACCAGGAGCAGCTGAAGGTTGACATTGTGTTGCATAAGAGTCTTTGGCTGCATTGTTTTCAGCCAGTTGCAGTGCTGCCACGTGACATTTATGTAACTTAGCTGCCAAGGTATCTGAGAGAAGCGTCGATGAAGTAGATCGAGTGTCATTCGGATTGTATGGGAAATTGGTTCGTGCTTTTGTCCCGCACATAAGCCATGCCGCCTCATCGTACGCTCTTGCCGCATCCTCTGCCGTTTCAAATGTGCCTAGCCAGATTCTAGTCTTCCTGCAAAAAACAAGAAACGATTTTCCCATTAAAAGAAAGAAAGTGAAAGATAATAAACTATTAAAGAAAGAAAAATAGTTTCGAGGAAATTACAAGATGGGGTGTCGAATTTCAGAGACCCAAGAACCCCAATGTCTTTGACGAGCGCCACGGTATCGCTGTTGAGGTCTTCCCATGGCGGTTTTTTTAATGAGAAACGCAAGTGTTTGTGATATGTCTGACAGAGAACAAAAGCAAAATGAAAATGAGCGGAGAATGATTGGGAGGGAAGTTCTGAAGTGGGAGAGTCGAGGCCTTCAAGGGGGCTTATATACAAGCTTCGTTTGCGGCATTCTGAACTTAGTGAATACTGATCAATGATCAACATAAGAATAACAGGACCCACAATGGATAGTTTCTCTCTTTCTTTTTTCCTTTGCTTTTGTTTTTATCCTTTTTTAACATGAGGAACTCTTTTCTTTTCCTGTTTTTCTCCTGTAAGGTGCTTTATATATATATATATATATATATATATATATATATATATATATATATATATATATATATATATATACATATATATATGGGCATAATCTAATTACATAATGTAAAACTTTTTAGTTTTATATCTTTTTAGGATCGTTGGATGAGGGGAAATCATTGGCTGAGATTAGAGTTGGGTATATGGGCTAAGGCCCGCGGGCAACCCGTTTAACCCGTGGCCCGTGCGGGCTTCGGGCCTCAAAAAATAAAGTTCGTTTAAATTACGGGCTTATTAGCCCGAACCGTTAATCCCGTGGGTTTAATGGGTATACCCGCGGGTAGTCCGCTTAATTTAATTTTTTTAATTTATTTTATGTTTTACGAAAGACAATTCACATTTTTTAGTTCTGTTGTGCATGATTAAGTTTTTTTTTTTGCATGGTGAGCCTTGAAGCCGAGAATTCTCTATTTCATGAGTATGCCAATATATCTAAGAAAGAGTCAACTAGCAATAATGATCATATTCAAAATAGAATGCGTCAAATGTCTACTTCAAGTAGCATGCCTAAAGGAAAGTCGCTAGCACTTGTGGATGCAAGTCTATATTTTGTCTCTTTTTACTTTTATTTACTTATTTCAGAATTTCAATTATTTGTTGGTTGTTTATTTTAATCTAACTTCTAATTTTGTGTAAATGATGTAGGAGTTCCTACAATTTGAGAATGATTTTTTGTCACAAGAAGGAACTTTTTAATTGGATACTTATTTAAATGAACAAAGGCTTTCTTTAACTTAACATCCAAGTCTTGATCTTTTGCATTATTGGAAGGAGAATCAACTTAGATTTCCGGATCTTGCATTGATGGCATGTGATATTTTGAGCATTCAAATTACAACTGTTGCATCAGAATCGGCATTTAGTATTGGCTCTCGTGTTCTCAACAAATACCGAAGTTGTCTCCTTCTGGAAAATGTCCAATATTTGATATGTACCAAAAATTGGTTGTTCAGATTTGAGGTTGAAGATAAATATTACAATTCTTAATGTTTAGTAAAATTATTTCTTTATAAATTTACTTTTGATTTCAAAATTTAAACTATCTAATAAATTATGATATTTCTTATATTGTAGATGAAGTGGACAAGTCTCCGGTGATTGAAAAAATGGAAGATTCAACTACATCTAAGGATTTAAAAAACATTGAATATTATTGATGTTGATTTTATTTAGACTTATTGAGACTTATTAGTGTTATGATGTTATTTATTTTAGACTTAATGATGTTATGGTGTTATTTATTTTAGACTTATTGAGATTTAATGGTGTTATTGTGTTATTTATTTTAGACTTATTGATACTTAATGGTGTTATGTTGTTATTTATTTTGGATTTATTGAGACTTAATGGTGTTATTGTGTTATTTATTTACTTGTTTATCTTGAGACTTATTGAAACTTTTGTTGCTACATTCCTTTTCAAGTTGTTAGATCATCTTTAAAGGTGTAGCAAGTTAGAACGTTATTTTTTATTGTATTTGAAGCATTTAACTTTATGTCATTTAAAGACATCATTTAAATCTTTTTAAAATTGATTATACATAAAGTAGAATTTAAGTTTTAAAATTCATTTAAGAGCTAAATTAAAGGATGAAGATGAACTTTTTAATTCTTCAGTTATGAAACAACATTTAATACGTGAAGTCGACATTTTTCTTTTAAACTAGAAAGTCTAAATATATTCTTATTATCTTCATAATTTAGAATATCAAAATTTAATTTATTCTATAATTGCATCAAAATAAAATAAGGGTAAGGCGCTCTTGTGTTCCATGTATTAGTTAGTGGACAAAGGTAACATGGCTCACACCACATTTACAAGTACATGGGGAACCTGCCCATATGCCATAGAATAAGGTAAGGACAAAGAAGCCCATGTTTCATGTATTTTTGAAGCCCCATTCTTTCATTATCATAATATAATATATTTGCGTCTTTTATGGGCACGGAACTATTTTAGCCGCTATATTTGACCACATGTAGTTTTTGCTGTGGAAGCAAAGCAGCAATCCATGTACCAAAAGATTTACAAGTCGACTTCAATGGCAACCCTTTTGTTCTTTCCATTCATTCAATATATTCCTTGAAAGCTAGGACAAATTATGTATCTCCATATGCAAGGCTTTGGGTGATTCTCGTTAGCAAAGAACCCCAAGCAAATCCGGAGACCAATTTTCCTCAGGCTTCGAGCTGAGGTAATTGTACCTTAATTCTTACAACTGGTGTCTTTGGAACTTCCAAATGTTGGGAAAATTTTCCCAAACTATGCCCTATGATTCTTTTTTAATTTTTTTCCCAGGCTTGACTCGCATCTAGACTGATCCGATGACCTAATTCACAATTTTTATATTTTATAATGTTCTGGGGGTACATTTACAATATGTGAAAGGCGATGACAATAACCATTCGATAAACCACTTTGCAGATCCCAAACCCAAAATAACCAACAAATCAGAGTGACAAATTTTCTAATGATTACACTGATAATTCAATTCAATCCCCAGTTGCAGAAATGGGATAAAGAATGGTTGGGTTAAATCCCGTTCGTAACTTTGCAACACCATGGCTCTAAAATGAAACGTTAAACATAAAATTCGAGACAAAATTATCAAAGGGGGGAAAAGCCAATGGCCCATCAAGAAACCAGAACCAGACAAAAAGTGCCAAATCGTTTTCCTCTAGGGTTCAGTCATTTCCTAATCAAAACTAACCTCTTCACTTTCTACCACTAGTTCGAACTCTTGGCTTGCCTTTAACTTCAGATTCCTGTATCTCAAGACACATTACCGATTAGATTCATGAGTCAAAAATGTTTCTTACGAATAATGGCTTTTTGAATAAAAGCTTAATGAATACAATAAATAATCCAGTGTGAATTATTTGTGTTGATGTACCTGTGGCAAGTGCAGGAAAATGTAGGTTTTGGCTGTCGATGGATTGTGATTTTCAGGACCCTTACTCCAGTCATAACAAACCTATAGCAAATACAGGGTGAGAATTACTGTACCAATTCAAAGAGAAAATCAGAGCATTATTCCAAAGTAAATACTGAATATGCATATATTGATCCATCATTTTTGAAAGTACTGCATGGTATAGGTTGACTGCACCTTGACATTGCCTGAAAATCAAGCAAAAGACAGTATTCATAACCAAACCAGAATACAGCAAAGATAATCTTGCTTCCGGAGCTAGAATTTTCAAGTTCAGACCCATATCAATTTAATATAAAAAATTACAAACGGTTTCTTGTTTCATCTGTTAAAATTAATCTTGTAAAGATAAAAGCATTGAGAAGTTTCTTGAACTTTCAATGCCAAAAAGCAGATGCTGTCGGTGCCAGTGTTAGTGGCATGCTGGTAGTGAGTGTCACTGCTAGCAATACCGAATTCAAGGCTTTCACAATCAGTGCCGCTTTCTAACAGAAACCAATCAGACTGTTGAGGAACTCAGGTTTACTGTTTTCTTTTATATTGGTTCTTGAAAAATAGCAATTTAAGTAAACCTTAATTTGCACTTGTAGTAGAGAAGGCTAATGGCCAAAAACCATGCAACACGTCATCTCATAAATGATATTATTGCTTTCTGAATGGACAAAGGATTCTAAGAATACCTTTAGTCTCTGTTTACTATCCTTGTCCCAGAAATTTAAAGCACCATCAGAACCTGCAGTGGCAAAAGTGTGATGTACCTGAAACAATGAACAGCGACAACAAATCATGAGCCAAAAAAGAGTTACCTCCATAAAATGATTTTAAGAACTATGGCTCTTCTTGGTATGAAGAATGGAAATGTGCAAAGATAGAAAAACCTAATGGTTAAGCTTTAAGGTAAGAAAGTGACTTAATCTTATAACAATTTTTCCATCCTTCGTTCCAAGCAAAGCTTAATATCCACCCAGCATGGATACCATGAAACAAATAACGAACGCAACATGGAGATAAATAGGTGAAAAAATCTTACAGGATGGAAGTGTAACGAGTTAACAGAATATATCTCACTGCCATCCCTGTGGCACTTGAATGTAAAGATTTTACTCTGTTGTCCATCATCAAGGTGGTGTACACCGACCCTTCCCTCAATTGAACCAACCTGTAAAGAAAAACAATGAAGTTAATACTTCCAATGAAACTAATTCCATTACAATTTTTTTTGTTTGAGAAACTAATCTATTACGGTTGCACTAGAGGAAAAAGAGTTTATAAATGATGTATTCCAACGTTGTTACTCCGTTTAGCCAAAATGTGGGGGGAAATGAATACAAGTGTCACATTGTTGGAAACTTAAAGATGAAAGGAAGAAAAATAAGAATACCAAAAATCCTTGCTGGTCAGGGAAGGCAGCAACACATCTTGTCTGATACTTGAGGGGTGAGGTGACTCTCTTGAATTCATTCTGCTAGCATTTCAGCAATGTTATTCGACATGAAGATGCAAGAGAAAAGAAAACAAGTAACAATAATAACTTCTCAACTTATCAATCAGCAATTCCATTAGCGACATTTATGTCAAACCAATCATATAGTACAAAACAACATTAGCATAGATCACTTACACTAAGATTTTATAGATGACAAATAAAAAGGAAGATGCTAGGTGCACCTTTAACTCAATTATTCCTAACTCCTAGAATGCTTCAACACTTTATAAATAACAATATTCCATACCACCAAAAAGGACGAATCAATCACACAAGAGAGAGAGAGAGAGAGAGAGAGGAGGGGTTGGAGGAGCATTAGTTCTATAAAAGTTGAACGCAGGAGATTTGAAAATAGA